CGCAAACAGCTCCCGTTCATGAGAGCGCGATCGCGGCGGCGGCGCTTGTTCCGCGCGAGTAGATCGATTTAGATTTAGTCAGTGCATATCCGAATCACGAGCAGCAATGGTGCCCCCACTGAAGCGTTTTTCGAGCTCGGCCGACATGGCTGGATTCGTAGTGGTAACGCTGCTCTTCCTAGGGGCTCTGTTAAGTAAGTTATTTTCTGGGAATCACGAAAAGTTACCGAGCATCAGTGTGGCTCACAGATAGGGCTGCAGAAGATTTTCCATCCTCTCTCAGCGATTCACTTTGGCTATTTCGACGAGAACGTCGCGACTGGAATGACGCAGCGGTAACGTCGCAGCCGAAGTTACGCGGAGTTTGAAATGACGCGGGCCCGGAATGACGCGAGCCCAGAATGATGCGAGCCCAGAATGACGCGGACCTGAAACGACGCCCTCGACTGCTCATCTCGATCAACTCGGAATCGTACTTGTCGAGTTCTCTCGGACAGATGTGGATTCCAATTGTAAGACATTTTTGGAGACTTGGCATATGGCGCACATCGGCGCCGCGGTCGTCCAGCGGTGTTCGGGGCTGGGCAATCATCCCGTTATCGCGGGTGTAGGTTCCTGATTGTTCCCAGCAAAAATTTCCAACGGTCTATAGATCAACAAGTTATGCGAGGATTTATTACTTTCTAATTTGTAGATTGTACGATATGCCACGGTGGCGCTTGAGAGCGTATGAGCCACAAGCCACGATGATGAGGGAGGATCCGATGCAGTAGCCGATCAGCGGCTTTATCCACTTGCAGGGATCTGGTGGCGCGGGAGGCGGAGTTGGTTTCGGCGGATGTACGTGTTTTTCGTACGCATCCCAGATGCTCTCGCCGCCTTCGGGCGGTTTCCAAGGTCTGAGACAGACCGTGTCACGCGCTGCCAGGCGTAGGCAGCTGGCCTCGAATTCCAGACAGTCGCAAGGAAAATTGTCGGGATTCGTTTCTGTGATGGTGCATGACCGGTTCTCTTCCCTCCAATCGGGCTCGCAGTCCGCCGACTAGTTGAAATAGCCGAGACCGGAGTCTACAAGGCTAATCACGAGGAGGGCTACCAGGAGTCTTGCCGCCATCGAATCCTGCAATTTCGAGCAGTGTATCAAGCTTTTTGAAATCCAAGTTCTTAGTCAGGAAATCCGCGGCGTTGACCTCAGTGGGGCAGTATTCGACGTTGACCTCTCCGTTGAGGTATCTCTCTCTGACGTAGTAGAACCTCACCTCAACGTGTTTCGCGTCCTTAAATTGTTGCGAAGATTCGGTCCTTCGAATCGTGGCCTCCTTGTCAATGACTAGGGTCGGTTTCAAGGGGTAGTGGAGCTCGTTCAGAAGTTTGGCCGTCGAGATCGCCGCTTTACAAGCCCCTGAGGCAGCGATCAGCTCCGCGACCATGGAGCCGGTGGAAACACAGCTCTGGCGCTGGCTGCACCAGCCAATAGCTCCTCCTCCGAACTTGACCAGGGAGCGAGAAGTGCTCCGTCTGGTGGTGTCACACATAGCGAAATCTGCATCGTTGTGGACCTTGAGTTTTTTTTTAGACCACTAGAGTAAAAGGGGCCGTGAGTTTTGGTCCCACTCAAGTGTCTCAAGATGTGCAACTCCTGTTTCCACAACTGTTTCGTTGGGCAATCCAGGTACCTTGACAAGAAGCCTACTGCATAGGCTATTTCCGCTCTTGTCGCAACTGCGAGGTACAGTGAAACCTGACCTATGGGACCACCGTACGAAGGGACCCCCTGAGGTATCGGACCACTTTTTTTTGGCACCGATTCTCCTCCCATAGAAGTCTATACCATTCTTAACGCGCAACGGGACCACCTGAGCAATGGGACCAAGGACCACCTCCCCCGGAACCGAGGGTTCCCATTACCTGCACAATCGAACCCCATTTTTTGGAACGTCTCGAGTTTATCATCGAAATCACAATACAAACATCGATTGTCGCGTGGGGACTACCGTGACGCATCACGTCAGCGGTAATTCCGTTCTCAAGTCGAGTTGAGCCATCGCCCGGTCTCCAGCATGGGAAAGCAACGGAACGAGCCCGCTCTAGACAAAAAAGTCGAAGTTATCAAGCAAGTGAATGGGGGAAGAGCCAGAGAGAAATCGCCTCGGAGTTCGGCGTGAGTAAGTCCCAAGTACAAAGGATAGCGAAGGACCCAAAAGCTTTCCTGGGAGAATGGAAAAGTTTTTCTTCCGAAAAGGGCAGGAGAAGACGTCAGAAAGCTAGAAACCAAGACTTCGATGACGAGGTCATGCGTTGGTTCCGGAGTGTGACGGAAAAACGGATCCCGGTAAGTGGCGGTAACTGGGGTGATGATTCAGGAGAAAGCCAAGTCCTTGGCCCGCGGAACAGGGGTCGCGGAGTTTTCGGCGAGTAACGGACGGCTCGATAGCTTCCGAAAGCGACGCAACATTGTTTTCAAGTCTCTGTGCGGTGAATTTGGGGACGTTGATCAAACAGTCGTGAGTGATTGGTTGAAACGATTGCCTGATCTGATCAAAGAGTGCGAGGTGGAGGACATCTTCAACATGGATGAGACCGGCCTCTTCTTCAGATCCCTCCCTAACAAGCCTCTCGTGGAAAAAGGAAAACAATGCCGCGGCGGTAAATGGCAGAAGAAAGGCTGTCCATCGCATTCTGCTGCAGCGCCGTAGGAGAAAAAATTCAACCCTTGGTGATACGGAAGGCCCTGAGACCCCGTTGCTTCGAAGGTGTGGACGTGGAGCGACTCCGTGTTTACTGGGAAGCCAAAGCCAAAGCGTGGATGACGACGACGATTTTCGAGAGATGGCTCGCTGAATTCAATTCGCAGATGAAAAGTCAGGACAGAAATGTTTTCCTGATACTTGACAACGCTTTCTGTCATGGTCGCCGCACCATGAGCAACGTGAATCTGTTGTTTTTACCCCCGGACGTGATTAGCGAGTTGCAGCCTCTAGACCGAGGCATAATCCAAGCATTCAAGCTTCAGAACCGCGATTTGATGCTGCGATGGTTGGTGTCGAAAATGGACGACTGCCGTTCGGCGTCAGAGCCCGCAAAGACGATCAACGTTCTCGAAGCTATAAGATGGGTGGTTCACGCTTGGGATAAAGTCCAAGAACAGACCATCGCAGGATGTTTCCGTAAATGTGGTATCATTGGTACGGACGGAGGCGAACGCGACCCGACCGAGGATGTTTTCTCTGACGACCGTCTACAATTGTGTGCACGGACAGGCGTCACGGATCCGTGGTTCATGGAAGACGTCGAGTGCTTCCGAAGCGCTTCTGCCGATGAGCCTTGTCCTCAGTCAGCGGGCATAACGGATTATGAAGAAGAGGATACGTACGTGAAGGACCCGCCCGGAGAGCCTCCATCTGCAAGCGGAGCGCTAGATGCCGTCGAAACCATCAAGTTGTTCGCGCTCACGTCGAGCGCGCTATCGAACGGTGCGCACGGTGCGCTGCTTGACTGTGAGAAGCAGATCCTGGATTTCGTTATACAGGAGATGCTACGAGCTGAGCGACAAAGCACCTCAGATTCATTCTTTTGTAGAGCTCAACGTTGACGCAGCAATGTTTTAATAATCCCCTCCATGGACGAGGAATGAAGTGAATTGTGCTCCGATGCACGATATTCCTTATCAACTTATCATTCTTAACCGCCGAATTCGGTCAGGTACGGATTTCACGTTTTCCAAGGTTCAAAATTTCATAACCTGAGCCACATGACCACCTGACTTATCGGACCGAATTTCCCCGGAACCGAGGGCGGTCCCATAGGTCAGGTTTCACTGTACATCAGTCCGCCGATGAGAGAGCGGTACGGCAGTGACACATCGATCCCGCCATCGTAGGCGGATTTTGCACTGCTGTCAAGCGGCGTCTTGGCCGGCTTGCAACTCGTCATGCCAAATCTTTCCAACAAGTCGGCAATGTACTTCGACTGATGGATGTTTCAGTTTCAGAGTTTATTCGCTCGGTCTGAGCAGAGTATATACCTAGTTCAATACACATAATAGTATTGCGACGGTTCCGTTCAGGCTCCGAGTTCCCTCAGGGAGACGAATTCTGGGCACCGGTGGCGTGGTATCTCCCGCATCTGTCTCCGCACCTCCTGCAGGTGCAGCTTTCGTTGGGTTCGTGAAAACCGTCCGTTGAGCACACGCGGTGATGGAATCCATGGGCGGCGTGGCGGCAAATGAGATGCCGGTTCGCTCTGTTCATGCTTTTCCACGTCTCGTCCTTCAGCGCTGGTGTTTCCAGGATGTCAACATCGATGTCCGATAGTTCTTCTTCCCACTTCGCGATGTTTTCCTCACACGCATCCGTTTTCGGGAGTCCAAATCGTTTTTGAAGATCTTCCGTGAGGAGCGTCGTCGGCACTATCCAGTAAATAAGCCGATTCCGAGTGCACTGAGGTTGACCCAGAACTCGCTTCAAATAGGCAGCCTCGACTTTGTTGAGCGACTGCGGGAGCAACTTTCATAGTGAACAGTTGCAGGGCGGTGCTGACGGAAAGACGCTGTGGAGTACGGATAGACGACATCGCCGTGAATGCCTTCCGGCATCGTTTCTCCAGATGTTTGCCGAAAGAGTGGCCATCCGTGGGGGGGATTATCCCTAGATATGGGAATTCATTCACGAACTTCAGTTCGCTGCCGTAGAGTCGTAGCTTGTCGTCTCTCGCGAGATGTCCGCCCCGGCGGAACTCCATGGCTTGTATCTTCTCGAGATTGATGCTTAGACCCAACTCGGCAGAGCATTCGAGGAGCCTGGCGAGGCCCTGTTGGACGTGGTTTCGACTCAGCACGGACTATTCTCCACCGAAAACGAAGCGAGTCGAGACCCAATCTGCCGAAAACCAGATCAGAAATCGTGTTCGGACCCGGCTGGAAGGAGACATCGGATGGTCGCGGGCTCCTTGTGATCGATGACGGGACCGATGATCGCGTGCTCCGCTTTTCCACGGCAGAAATGATGATCCCCCTTCGTGACGCTCCAGTGATCTACATGGACGGCACGTTTCGAGTTGTGCCCGAACTGTTCTTACAATTATACACTCTGCACGCCTTTTATAGAGGCCAGATGATCCCGTTTGCTTTCTTTTTGTTACCGGATAAGCAAATGGGGGCCTATTGCCGAATGTTTGCTCGCGAATGGGGCAGGATCCACCACGGAAGAATAAGACCTACGAGAAGCTGAACCAGAAGTATATGAAGTTCGTCGCAGAGTACGAGACGAACGAGATAAGCCGCAGGGAATGTGTCCTAGCCGTAGGTTCTCAACGTGTATCGGTCGTAGTAGATCCATCATCGTTGGACGCAGTGTGACGTACTCGATGACGTCTAGTAATCTTGAGGGCTTCATTAAAATAATTTGACGCCAGAGTGAGCTCCGACTCATTGTTCAAGTCTCCTGTCTGAACTGCACAGAGACCGCAGAAACACGTATTTGGGAGGTTGGAATCTGGGAGACGGGCATATGGGGGACGGGCATATGGGAAACGGGCATACGGGAAACGGGCATATGGGAGACGGGCATATGGGAGACGGGCATATGGGGGACGGGCATATGGGAGACGGGCATATGGAAGACGGTCCACGACAACTCGGCCTCGGCGACAACTCGGCCACTACGACAACTCGGCCACTACGACAGCTCGGCCACTACGACAACTCGGCCACTACGACAACCCGGCCTCAGCGACAACTCGGCCTCCACGACAACTGGGCCACCACGACAACTCGGCCACCATAGAGACTCCTTTTTTATAGAATTGCACGTAAACCCGCGCTCCGGCTTTCTCCGAGAATCTGCCCCTTTTGATCCATCCTGGAAAGCCCGAACGCCCCGCCTGACTGCACTCGGACCTCGGAGAATCATAGAACACTTCGGCACTTCCCCTCATCCACAGACGGTCTGGGAAGCTTTAGACCTCATTAGACCGAAAGACCGTATTTAGAGTCGCCGCCTGTCGTGCTAGAATGTAGTCGGTGTTGTTGCTATCGTCGTTGCTCGTACGTGCAGCATGTTTACCACGAGGCATCCGAAGACTTTCCGAACGGATCCCACGCCTGGCATCGGACTGAAACATCTCCGCGAAGACAGGAATCAGGATGCCAGTTTCCGTCGAAAGTCAGCGAGGAAAAGAGAGACTGGCCCACGACGGGTATCTGTACGTGTTCGCGCAAAGGAGTAAGGATCAACAGACAGAGTTCTGGCGCTGTCAATACAAGGCCAGCAAAAGTCAGAAGTGCACGGCCCGCGTTCATAGGTCTGTTAGAACTGGGGAGATCACGATCAAAGGCGCTCACACTGACATGCCGAGTTCAGCAGCTATAGAAGTCCAACAGAAGAAGGTAGCGATGAAACGTCGAGCGGTGGAGACTCTAGAAGCACCGCAGCAGATCATCAACAAGATACGTGCTACTTCGTCGCTGGCTGCCAAGGGGAGCATCGAGAGCAATAAATCGCTGACAAGGACGATACAAAGAATTCGCAATCGTGTCGGAATACCTTCGGTGCACTACACGGATCGTCGGGATATCGTCATCCCTGAAGAATATCGAGTGTATGAAAGTAGCCCCGGGATTGTGGAACGGTTCTTGCTCGGTGACTCGGGATCCGACGATCCCAACAGGATCTTCCTCTTCGGCAGAGAAACGGTGGCCTCCTGGATCGGGGGAGTTTCGAAAATCTACTGTGACGGGACCTTTAGTTTGGCCCCGAATGAGTTCGCCCAAGTCTTCGTGATCCTTGCGGAACGTCCAGGATGCGTGACCCCGATTTGCTACGCTCTTCTGCCGAATAAGTCGGAAGAATCGTATTGCAAGGTAATTTCTAGAAAGAAGATAACGTAGATTAAGTTTGAGCTGACGGTAGCAGTTGAGAATGTCGCCTTGTCCTATATTCTTAAGCCCCTTAACTAACCCGTCATTCGCTTCTCTGCTAGATGCTCGATATGTTAACACTCGGATGGCCGGCCTTCAACCCGACGAGCGTTTCCGTAGATTTTGAAAAGGGCCTGATGAACGCGTTCAGCGCCTACTTCCCCGATGCTCAGATTCAGGGATGCTTCTTTCATCTTGTGCAAAACATGAAGAAGCAAGTCGCGGCTCACGGTTTGAGCAGAAGATATCGTAACGAACCGGATTTCGAGCTCAAGGCAAAGATGATCTCGGCGCTCGCGTTCATTCCCCCAGAAAGACTGGAGGTCGCGCTCCGCGAGCTCCGCAGTGATTTGCCAGAGGAATTACAGACAGTCCTGGATTACTTCGAAGACAATTATATCGGACGTCTCCAGGCTCGCGGCGATGGATCTCTGACACGCCGGAACCCGTTGTTCCCGGTTTCCATGTGGACCGTCTACGAGCGCTCGCTTCGAGGGGAATCCCGGACGAACAACTACGCGGAAGCGGCCCATCGCAGTCTTCAGCGCCAGTTCCGTGTCGAGCACCCGGGGATGCTCAAATTCATTGACGGAATCCGTTCTGTGCAACAGAGCAAGGACGCCGATTTGGAGCGTTATATTGCCGGGTACGCCGCTGATGGGAAGAAGAACAAGTATGCTGAGAATGACCGAAGAATTCTACGTATCCTAGAAAACGTAAACACCAATACCTTAAGCGAGACTTTGAGGGGCATCGCCCATACCTACAAAATGAACCCTTGAAGCGGAAATCCCTCAACGTTGTCAATCTGTACATACAGTACATTCCAGTCAATTCAAGTTTCCTCCGAAGATTGTGTGAGAGGATTTCATAAAAACCAAGTGACGCGTTCTTCCGACGCTTGTGAGAAGAGACAAGGCATACCGAGTCACCTTGATTCTTTCAGAAAGTCTTTTCATTCAGTCATTCTCCGATTCTATAAAGAAGGAGTCTCCATGGTGGCCGAGTTGTCGTAGTGGTCCAGTTGTCGTGGAGGCCGAGTTGTCGCTGAGGCCGGGTTGTCGTAGTGGCCGAGTTGTCGTAGTGGCCGAGCTGTCGTAGTGGCCGAGTTGTCGTAGTGGCCGAGCTGTCGCCGAGGCCGAGTTGACGCGGTCCGTATGGAAGACGGGCATGCGGTACCTAACCGGGTGGGCATATGCTCGACGATGTTTCCAAGAAGTTGTCATCGAATAAACATTATTTTGATGCTCTCGAACTCGGGAGCTGTCCCTCTCATAGAGATTTCAATCGACTCATTCTTCAATATGGGGGTCCCATAGACTTTTCGCGACTTCTGCTGTTTCTTCGTCCGCGAATTTCAGCCGGTCCAGCTATCGAAACCGGGCGAAGAGCGGAAGGAACGGCAAGGAAAGACTCAACTTTCCCCACCAACAGAGCTTCCATATCTCACCTGGTCCAGATTTTACAGGTGATCCTAATCAGGGTGAATATATGTTTGAGCGCAAGTTAATTTGAGCGCAGGGCCGATTCGAGCGCGAGTGTGATTTCAGCGCAAGGGCCTTTTGAGCGCAAGTCAATTTGAGCACAGCTCCAATTTGAGCGCAAAGTCAATTTGAGCGCAAGTCCAACTTGAGCGCAAATCCAATTTGAGCGCTCGTCAATCTGAGCGCAGATCCGATTTGAGCGCGCGTCACTCCGAGCGCGAATCCAATTTGAGCACAGATTATTTTTAAGCGCAGATCCATTTTGAGCGCGGAATAATTTTGAGCGCAGGTCCAATTCGATCCCTAATGCCGACCTGAATTTGAATCCCCACCCCGAGATGAGTCCGATATTCCATGGAAGACAATCTTGGAACTGATCCTTCTGATATGTACAATATATATTCTGGTCAAATAGTCTCAAAACCCATGTGAGACGAAACGTCAATTATATTATACAAGTCGCATTGTCCTATAATACTTATGTGTGTAAGAAGATGTGCACAAAGCTTCAAAGCGGTCACATCAAAACCGTATATTGTGCGAAATAGATTCCAAAAACGCCAGCACGTTACGACGCACATAAGATTTTACAACGTTTTCGATCCTTGCCGTCCTGTCTCTGTAAGTCTTGTTGGGCGTAGTGGATCTACCCTAAGGAAACGAGTTCGAAACTAAGAACTCTGTCTTACCCTGTTCGATTTGTAGACAACTAAGAAGCTTGGATGACGTAGGGTGATAGGCTCGCAATCGCTAAGAGAAGTTCGCATGCCAACCTTCGACATCATTACTAGTACGGCTCATTCGATTCAGCGCCACAGCATAGAGGTTCCACCACTCGTGTTTGATGAGCGGCTTATGGCGTTCTCTACCAGCCCAGGTGTTTTCGAAGTAGTCTACAAATTTCGTCAATAGTCCAACATTCTCTCCCACGAAGTCGGACTTCAAGAGCACCTCGAGCGACTCCCGAATATCTTCAACTGGGACGTAAGCTAATGCCGCGAACATCCGTGTGTGTAGCGAAAAATCATCCGAGGCCTTGTATCTTTCACGGAGCTCCGCATCGTCTTGAATGTGCCGCCACAGCGATTGGTTAAAATGGAAGCTGCACCCCATTATACCGAGCGTAGGCAAGTTTGCTTCCAACTCTCTGATCATAGCTGACTCGAAGTCGACGTGAATGGCTTCCGGATGGGACCCATCTAACGTATCCTCAATGATGTTGATCAGCCATCGATACATCGCCATTCTCTTATCCGGTAGCAATGCGTAGAGGACAGGGACCACATTCCCATCCGAAAGCCTCACGTGGACGGAGTACAGCTGCAGGAACATCAATGGGGCGACGCGGAAGGTTCTATCGGGAAACTATTCCCCACAGTCTCTGAGAAGTGATAGAAGTGATATTGGCGGTTGCATATATGATGATGCGATTGGCATCTCCCTCACCAGAGTCGTAATAGTCGTAACTAGAAGAGAAGAAGGCTCGATTTCATCATCCGTGGCGTCGCTTCCTCCGTTCATCGTTGAGCTTGAAAACTTACTGCGCCATATTTCATAGCCCACCTTTTCACGATCGGAAATTCTCAAATCAACGCGAGTATTCATTGCGGCCTTCGAATCGGGATCTTCCCGTTTCCGGACGCGATTGACCTGCTTTCGGAGCACTGTCAAGTTCGGCAGTCGACCCATCAGAGCTTCCGATGATAACGTTGACACCATGTTATCAACTAGACCCGAAGTTTTGCACTCCCCTGGAACGCTGTCTACTTGCTCCTTGAGCTCATTCAACTTCTCCCGAACGGTGATGTCTAATGGATCTGGCGCGTGCTCATGGAGCGGCGAAACCTGTCGAGGGTCGGGACGTAATGAGCTCTCAATCCTCGATTAATCGATATATCCAGAGAAGAATGCTCACTCCGAGCTCTTCGATGTCTTTTACTGAGATTCGCACGGAGCAAGTTTTCGTCAGACAGCGCCATCTATTCCGATCCTGACGATATAGAAAACTGTCGAAGACGAGTAAGGGTTTCCCCTTGGTAGACTTAACGAAGTGGAAGGACTTCTCAGACATGATAGATTTTCCAACTTTTCCCGTACCGCGTGTGTCACCGGTACCTTTCACCAGGTTGCCGCTCCACGCGTTCGAATCTCCCCCAAATTATTGTTTGAGATGTGTGATCTTTGCTGGAAGATCCTTCCAGCTCCAGGCCTCGAACTTCTCACTCGAGTCCGAGAGACGTGGATCGGACCTCTTGGATCTGACTCGGATGAGCGCTCCTCAAGGAGCTGCGCTCAAATCGCGCCTGCCCTAAAAATGAATCTGCGCTCAAATTGTATTCGCGCTCGAATCGAAGCGCGCTCAAGATAAAACCGCGCTCAAATTGGGACATGGGATTTGTCTGGATGAGGCACGGGGTACCGAGGGAAGTTTTAGGCCTGCCAGATCTGACTGAAGAGAACGAACCGCTCTTTCGTCAAATGGTCATTCCGTGTTTCAAACTTCCTTTTGGAAGAGCCTCGTTATCCTTCGTTGTCGATGTATAATTCGGCATCCCTATTCTGTGATTGATCTGCATGATTCGATGAGTCCAGTGTCATCTTCGATCTCGCTTCACTACGAATGTATCAGCTGACGGTCCTTTCCGTCTCAGCACCTCAGACAGACTCCACGGGTTCGTGAATCGCGGTTTGGCTGTACTGCCTCGCTCGGACTAATAATAATCGGACCCTGATGACTTTGAGATGATTCATAGTTTCAAGAGCTGCTCGACCGCCCGTTCCGAAATGAGGTGATCTTCACTCTGCGGTTTTCCAACCGCCGAAGCCGCAAGAATCTTTCGGATCCAGCGACCCCGACTCGCCGCCAAGCCTAGTGGGACATCGTTGCTGACGATAAACTCATTTTGACCCTTTATCTCCGTCTGGCGTTCTGCAGACCCTTGATATTTTCGCCGCAGTAAGTGAACCCCTGCAAGTCACTCTGGCCCTTGAGGGCTTTTTCACCGATCATACTCCCGACCGACTCCTGTTATCCTTGCGAGAGGGCAAGTAGTTATGGATGATGGACGGTAATCCTTGCTTGGGAACTCCGGAGCCCGGACTTGCAAGGTGAACGCAAGAAGCCCGAGGCGCGACAGAATGAAGCGAAAAAGAAGGTATAGCTCTTACTCGAAGCACTTGGTGCAAAAAATATGCCCGGCTGGTGAGCCGCATGTCACCTGTTCTACCCAGAGCAAAGAACTCTGAGGAGATCCCTCTGACGACAGTCGGCCCGTCGGAATCCATTTCCTGCTGTCGTCGACTGGGCGAACTTGAGAGGGAACCAGTTCGGCCGGAGTAGCGTCACGAGCGAGATGTCCAAGATGTTTTCGGCGATCAATCTTTTCCTCAGCCGACTTCGGCAGTCCGGGGTCTCTTAGTTAGAGAGAGGCTCCTATTGAAGGGCGGCTTTTATCTTCTCACGAAAAGCTCCGGCAGGGGGGCCTCTATCACGGAGGGGCTTCTATTGGAAGGGGGCTGCTATTGGGGGATTTACGGTATATCACCTCCGGGTTCGTCTATAGACTGTTGACTCTATCAGTCCTGAAAGGCTGATCGACCCGCCGTCGCGTCATCCTTTGATACGACATGGCTCGTAAGCTATTGAAGTATAAACGTGGCTCGACATCCTTCGCGGTCCGCGACCGTGGCCCCAATTGCTGATTGCGGTGTGGAGCGATTCCAAATGAGAGCCTATGAGACCCGAAAAATGCCGCGAACTCCCGACTGAGAAGCCGCGAAGAAGGTCAAGTTTGTGTATTATGCCTCTGAGATAATTTGTTGAACTTCCCCTCATGGAGATTTGGTGGGAATTGTGAATTTAGGATTGAAGGAGACGCGAATCCGCGAAACAGTGCACGATCGGCTTTTCTCTAATTGGAGCGATCCCTGAGAAACAAGTCCGCGCACCGCGGTCGGAATCGCTGCGGGTTCACATTCCTGCCAGAATCATCTGCCTCGACTAATTAAGACTTCGCGAGCTCTCAGAGGGCTCATGTGAGAGCCATTAACGAATACCTCTTTGAGACGGTGTTATCTGCCCGAACATGCACCCGAGATAAGTCCGCGTTCATAATATCAATCAGAAGCTGCGCAGAGAATCGCTCCACCGGATCAGAGTCCATAGCAGCGAGAACCCTCACCGGGTGCTCGCCCCCTTTCTCTCTCTGCTTCTGATCTCATCCCCATACATATGCATCTCTTTGAGCATTCCTTAATCATTCAAGCGATGCGGAGAGTACTGCTCATTCGTGCCCTGCTATTTTCTCAAAAACTTTTCATCTGTGCCTGAGCAAGTGTTCAACCCCAAACTTGTGATCATCTCAAGTGCGCAGTCCAAGCGAGCCAAGGCCAGAAAGATCTTACAAATTATCGCCGAACCCGCTACACCTCTGGCGCGATCCTCCGGCCTCCAGCTCCACGTCGGATTTTCTCACTGCGGCTGGTGAGTACCGGTATCTGAGGACGGTAGGAGTCAACAACGGTGTCCTATCGGAAGCAACTTCTGTCTATGCCAACTCGCGAAGACAGCTGCTCGGCATCGTATCGGAAGAGCCACGATCGGCCCTAAACGAAATTCGACGAATCGTCATTGTCGTGGGTCGCTCTGACTATCTCTGGAAATGAGCATCCTTCTGGATATGACGGTCTGTGTCGTAGTCGCTGTGACCGCGTATTACGCCCTCGCAGTCGCAAGACTCGTGTACGCTTTCAGAGGTATACCGAGGTTGCCCGAGAACTTCCCTTGCTCTTTCCCGTTGGATCTTATTTTTTCGATGCGACGCTTGCGAAGAAAATCGAAGAAGCCGCTGGAGAAAGCCATCACTACTAAAGTATCGAAAACAAAGATGTATCCACGATGGCTCTATAAGGCGATGGATGTGATGGTTCCAAAATGTTACGATCAACCTGTGGTTTGTTGCATAATGGGACCAGTAGGATTTGTGCTCGCATGCACTCCTGAGAGTACCGAAGCATTGCTGTCGAGTGTATCCAATGTCAACAAAGGATTCAGCCATCACTTTCTGAAACCCTGGTTGGGAAACGGCCTTCTCTCCAACCCTGGGGATGCGAGCTGGAAAGTACATCGGAAGATGCTGACTCCAACAATGCACTTCCGAATCCTGGATGATTATCGCCAAACAATGAACGAAAATGCACTCCGATTCGTTGACAAGCTGCGACGATTGGATGACAAGGAGGTCGATATCTATCCGATAATTCGCATGTGCACCTTCAGCATCCTCTTCGAGACCGCTCTCGGAATACAACTGGACGAGGATGATTCGGAACACCTGAATTTTCTGAGCGATTGCGATGAGTTGGCAGACCGGATTCTCGCCAGGATCATCAACATCCCTCATTGGTTCGACTGGGTTTTCCGGCACACGTCGGCTGGACGCCAAATGGACGCTGCTAGCCTGAGAATCACCGCCTATATCAATAAGGTCATCGACATGAAGCTTGCTGCGCAAGAAAACAATAACGGGACAGGACAGAGTTTCATCGATATCGTCATAAAAATGTTCCGCGACGGGCTCCTGAGCCGACAAGACGTCCGAGATCACGTTGCGACATTCATAGTCGGTGGTTTTGATACAACCGCAACAGCGATGGCCTACACTCTCCACCTTCTTGCGCTGCACACAGACCTCCAAGATGAGTTGTTGAGTGAGATAGAGAGCGTCATCACAGATGACAAGAACATCACCAAGGAACAGCTGAGAATGTTGACCTTGACCGAGGCCGTCACCAAGGAATCTATGCGTCTGTTCCCCCCGCTCCCGATGATCACACGAAATGTCTCCTCTCCCGTCCGCGTTGGCGAGCATACAATACCCTCCGGCACAGTTGGCCTCATCGATATCTTCCATCTCCATCGGAACCCAAACGTCTGGGAGGATCCACTTCAATTCAATCCCTCCCGGTTTTTCGGATCGAAGAACAGACACCCTTATAGCTTCGTCCCGTTTTCCGCAGGACCGAGAAATTGTATGGGCCAGAAATTCGCTAATCAGGAAGACAAGATCCTCCTCGTTCACATGATCAAGAATTTCAAGCTCCATACGAGCCAAGCGACCGAAAACCTCCGATTGAGTTTCGATTTGATACTCAGACCCCTCGACGGCATATCGATCCGCTGCGAACCACGGACCAACTGAGTCACTGGGACGAGGCTTGTCCCCGGATCATTTAGCAAATCGTGGCCGGTTCCCGGAGAGGTCTCCGTGGGTAAATCGATGGGAGAAGAGGGCGTCCTGTGAGTTCACAGCGCGCTCTATATGTTGATGTAATACTCTGATGTTTCCCGCTTCTCTAGAAAGTTCGTTGAGCGGCCTTCGCGACGCCAGACTATCATCGCCCGGTGCCGAGAATCGAATCGGCGAATCGACGTTGGAGACGGACCGTTGTCGACAAGTCGAATAGGATTCGAGAGAGGCTGGGATCCCAGCGCAGCTTCGTCGCGACGTCACTCTTCCAGAATGCCGTTAGATCATTGTAGAACAGAGAGATCATCAGTGTCCTACGTGCTCTCCTCGAAAGCCAAAGATAGTAAATTGTTTTTGCTCGCCCTCTTATTCGGACGCATTCATCTCATCACTATTCAGAATTAGATGGAAAGTTTAAGGTAGACAGAAGATCTTTCATGGAGTCCCGGAGATCGAGCTCGATCTGAATCTCGGAAAGGTCTCTTAAGCGGGACATTCATTCAGGAGAAACGGACTGTTCAGATAAATAGTCCCCGATACTCCGATAGTAAGTGGTTGTGCTATAGTCGCACTGAAGTCCCTCGAGGGAACAGCCGATAACTGAGTGCTTTCCGGATAACCCAAACTCTAGGGAGCGACTTCGGACAGAGTCTCCGATGTCCAAGATGTTGATCTAGGTTTTGAGTTCCTGGGACTCTGGACGTATCTCCTCCCACTTTCTTAACCCAGTTCGGAGAACTCTGCATCGCGATCACATCCGCGATTGCCCGGCGAAGATCGGTGCCTCCGGTGTCTGTACCCTTTGCCTCAAAGAACACAGCACGCATCAGAGAACGGAATTGCAAACCGAACCGGCATTGCAATATTGAGGCTGCGACGTATCCTGATATACAGCGGTGGCCGAAATCTTGAGAACGGCAGGTCCCGTTCATGAAGAGATGGACGTGTCCTAAGTCCCAATATCTCAATACCAGGGTGCCGCGAAAAACATGAGACTTCCGAGTTCTTGCACTTCCTCTTCAAGCTCATACCCAGATCTTTCCCATGCTTACCTCCACGTACGGTTCATATTCGAATCTGCTTTGGTCGGAATTTCAAATACAATCCCCGGGGATACTCTCATCAGATATCCTTTCATTTATCTCGTGCAGAAAGACTGAAGCTTCGTTCTCGATTTCCTCCTCCGTTCGGATGTGCTTCTACCGATCTTCCGCGTGATTCGTCGACTTGATATTCGGAGCGGGACTTGGGTGCTACCTGATTCGAGCGCAGGTTTGATTTGGGCGCATGCTGGTTCGAGCGTGAGTTTGATTCGGAAAATGAAAATTTTAAAAAGACCCGGTCGGTTATAGAGCAGATCGGAGCGTACGCTTGATGCGGGATGGGTACGGGTGAGGAGTCGCCCTTTGGCTTTTTGATCGACTCAATCTATGTAGCGCAGTTTTTTCACATCGCAAGTTGCGAGTCCTTCTTAGAATGAATGCGAAAGTATGATCTGACGAAGGCTCCAAATTCTTCAATGTTCTCATGGACTGTTCTGAAATCGCAGAATCATTTGCTCCGACCGATCGGTGGTCGTGTGGTTAGCGCGTCTGGCGTCTGTCACATCTCACAACTCGTGCAAACGTGCAGAGCCGCACGACCGCGACTTGAGCGGAAGGTGGCGTAGGTTCGATCCCTGCTGCCGGCGAAATGAGCAGGCACCTGGACTTCATCCTTCTGAGTACATTCGCTCCGAGGATCTGTCGTCAGAAGCAATTCGAGAGTTCCCGGGACCTCAGACCTTGGCTGTGTGTGGCTCAGCTCGAAAAAGTTGAACATCACTCGCTTGCCAGAATCAGCTTATGCGTCCTACATTCCTATGACGTACAGCCTCTTCGAAACCGTCGACTTCATATTGGTGCGCCTCTCTCACGAGTCACGAGTCTGTAATTCAGCAACAGATCATTCCATATTCCGTCATCCTGCTCTCATTCTTGCGGGACTTCGTCCAAGACCGAGTCCTATACTCTGAAAATATTCAATGAAGCTCGTAAGGAGTGATGAATTACCACGAACGAAATCGCACTCGCGTATGATAGACGGATAGACCTTTCCTTTGCAATCGAACAGAGCAGATTTGAATTTGATTCGAAATTATTCGGCGATTGCCAATCAAAGAGCATCGGACACACGATTGGCCGCCGCCACGCCAGACTTCGTTCACCCCAGCTAGATGTGCCTTTCACCAGATGCAACGTGTACGATTCCCACTAGGGACGCTCTCAACATCCGAATCATTCGAAAAAAAATGCGCCCGTTAAGCAGAGCAAAAGTCTTTTACGTCTTGAGCTCGGTCTTGTGGAGACACAATGCCGCTTGAATTCGTGAAGTCGATTCGAGGTAAGCCTCTGCTTAAGATAAACGGGTTCCTATTCCGGAAACATCGAGAGAATAATGGATGCATCAGTTGGCGTTGTCTGGTCAAATCGTGCAAGTCTCGGACTACGACTCGAGACGGCGAATACCGATGAGTCTCAGGGGACTCATCCTGTCTGGTCATTACACGAATTTCCACTCGAATTATGTGCTGATTCGAAGTACCCTGGAATCCCGCGAACAAGGCCTCGTTTCGAATGAGTCCCCAGGGAAGAGAGCCTCGTTCTCATGGACACCTATGTGGAGTTTTCTCTTTGGATAAGTCTCTCATATACGGTAGCTCAGGGTACTTGGATTTTAATCAATTTGGTCGATGGATGATTGATCAATGTAATCGAACTCGATCTCTATTTCGAAGTGAAATACTGAAGATACCTCTCTTTCTCCTGAAGAGGAGCATTCTCAGCATTGTTACGCGGCCGACTCAGTTGATATAGAAGTGCGGGACCAGTTGAATCGACTCCGGACGCCGACCGAGCAGAGCCCATTGGCCTCCAACTCCGTTTTAATCGCCAGTACCGTGGGTACAATCGCTTCTGAGGCAGTGAGAAGTATTATAGAATGCCGCAGATGAGTCTCCTGCGACAGCGAATCACTTACGCTCGAGCAATGGCAGGACCTTCGCTCCCTCAGAATCCTACATGCCGTGAAGGTCTACGCATCCCGGACTTCCTCAAGGTCACCACGCGAAATGAAGCCTTCCTACATTCCGACTCCGGCGTCGGAGATCTCAATAGACTCATAATTTACGCCGCAGCTGGAGACCTCCAGCTCCTGAGAGAGTGCCCAGAATGGTTCCGAGATGGTACTTTCAAGGTGTGTCCTTCAATACTTTATCAACTTCACACGATTCACGCTAGACTGTCGGATGGCGAAACGGTGCCCGTCGTTCACTCGCTCTTATCCGCCAAAAAGGCGGATTCTTACAAGAGACTCCTAGATGTCATCCTCGTCGAAATTGACGGCTTCCACCCACAAGCTATTCACGTTGATTTCGAAGTCGCGATGATCAGAGAGCTCGAGCTTGCTTCTCCAGCTGCGGGAATTCTGGGATGCTCATTTCATTTCAATCAATGTATTTGGCGTCACATATAGAGCAATGCTGCGCTCCGAGTCAAGTACGTGAACGATGATGACTTCGCTTTGCGCTCGAAAATGTTTCCGGCTTTATATTTTTTCCGGTCGACCACGTCCGCCCTGTTTTCAATGCCCTCCTATAATCCGATTTCGTCAGCGATGACTCATCTGTCCTTACGGATTTCATAAATTATTTCGAGACTACGTGGGTAGGTCGGGAACGAAATCCAGCAAGAACGAAGCTGGTATGGTGGAATGTTCACATGCAGACCCTCGATGGAATGGGACGCACCAATAACGAGGTTGAGGGCTGGCTCGCGGCTTTCAAGGCATGAATCGGAGCATCTCACCCCAACTTCTCCAGACTTGTCGAACTCATCAAGCTGGAACAGGGGAGAACGGACTTCTGGATAAGCAATTGGCTCGCTCAGGGCATTACCGACAGATCGAAGGAAAGGTACCGTGACCGTCAGAAAATACTCCAGGAACTTGTTTCTTGTTACGCGACTCGCGATAGCTTGGGATTCCTTTTGGGAATCGCTCACGTTATTCGATTCTGAGAGAAAAGAATAGTCTTCGAGGATATTCAACTGTTCAGTTATGAATAAATCTCTGTATTCATTCTTAAAAGGAATCATATCTCGCGATTTGAAAGAGTTGCGCTGCCTAGATCAAAACGATTCAAGGTAGCACCAAGCATACGCTCTTTCAATTTCGGACGTTGTTCATCGGGCGGAATTTCATCAGATCTGCATGATATCGATCAAAACGCTCTGGATCCCGACTGAGCTGGAACAGCTCACGCTCAAGCCGTCGTGTCGCGACATCCCTGTTATCTGGGAGCTCAGAGATCGTGCTCCGTTTCGGGAAAACGACAGTATATCGCTCTCCGTCGTATGAGACACCACCGCTCAAATCATACCTACGCTCTAATCAAACTTGCGCTCAAATCGAACCTGCGCCCAAATGGAATCAACGCCCAAATCGGACCTGCGCCCAAATCAAACTTGCGCCCAAATCGAACCTGCGCTCAGATCGGATGTGCGCTCGAATAGAACCAGCGCTCAAATCAGCGTGCGCTAAAATCAAACCTGCGCTGAAATCAGGTAGCATCTCTTCCATAGAGACAATGCCTGATGGGACTGCCAATATGAAGTCCCATCAGGCATTGTCTCTATGGAAGAATACTCATTCCACTGTTCCACGAGTGTCAGCATCCGCCGGCATTCGGAGAATGCTAGAAAATCCTCAGTACACCGATATCTCCACTCCGTTCAATCTCTGGGCGAGAAATTCACGGCACCGTGAACTTTCAGTCGGAATGCCCCGTCGAAAGTCTGGCCCTATTCATCGTCCGACCGCTCCCATGTCGGAGAAGAGCCCGTCAAAATGCGCATTTGGGTCGCTTTCCGATGTGCTCGGACAGAACTTCTCGTTGCACATACTGGAATTCCAAACAAAAGTGTTCACGCTATCCGATCGGTCCCAGGCGCAGCAAGGAAACTTGAAGAGCAGCGAATTTTCGCCGTGATTATGATTATGATTTTACCGTAGTCATAATCACACGTGTGAATATGATAATGATCTTAGTCATAATCACAGAAATCACCCTAGTCACACATATTCGTATGATTACAATCATAATCACACGTGTGATTATGATTATAATCATGGTCATAATCAGAGCTCGGAAGTTTAGTCGCTGAAAAGTCTTAGAAAAGGCAGGCGGAAAGGCGCTGAAAACCTTCGAGAAAGGCACCGAAACTAGGCAAAATAGGCGTTACAGGCAGGGAAACAAACGCATCAAAGCGTCCATCAGTGTCGTATTGTGAGAAACTCATCTGGCAACATGGATTCCCATCGGTGAAAAATCGACGCCGATCTGAAACGAGCATTTTACAACGACGAAATTTTTTGGCGCCCTCAGGCGGAGCATCGGAACTTGTCGAAGGCAAGACGTGCTCCTGGAAACTAGGTTCGCCGAGCTCATCTCATCGCCGTTCTCAATAGAAAAACCTCAGTTTCCCCCAAAATACTCGGGATTCGGCCTCTCAGAAGCTCAAAAAGGCACTCTAGACACGAAGAAAATTCAACAGGCATTTTGCATCGAAAAAAGCCGAAAAAGGCAGATATATGCATTCAAGGCTCAATGCCTGAACTTCCGAGCTCTAGTCATATTCACAGAAATCACCGTAATCATACGCACTCGTGTGATTACGGCCATAATCATACGCATGTCTGTGATTATAATCATAATCACACGTCTGATTATGATTGTAATCATACGAATGCGTGTGATTACGGTGATTTCTGTGATCATGACTATGATTATAATCATAATCACACGTGTGATTACGGTGATTTCTGTGATTATGACTATGATTATAATAATAATCACCACACGTGTAATTATGATTGTAATCATACGAATGCGTGTGATTACGGTGATTTCTGTGATTATGATCATGATTATAATCATAATCACACGATTGATTATGATTACGGTTATAATCATAATCAGGCGTATGATTACGGTCATAATCATACGCATGCGTATGATCATGACGCCCTACGGAGCCCTACGATCGCACGTCACACATTTGCTCCGGAATATCGCGCGGCGGAAACTGAGTGAAGGGCTCTCTCAGAAGGGAGCGAGCCATACGCTGCACGCAGAGTCCGTCATTCGATGCTGGAAGTCCACCATCGTGTCCGTAGCTCAATCAAAGCTCTACGATTATACATCGGAAGGATCCCTGGTGGAACGAAGCTGCATCCTATATGCGTGCGATGCTTATGCTGGGGCAGAGGGGAGTGGAAACTTACGGAGAAGCTCATGGAAACACGACGCTTGAAAGAGTTCAAAATTGCATTGTGTTGACAAGGTCGAACTACTAATCTGGAAGTTCTATCGCTTCCGCAAGGAATGAATTCTGCTCAATTTCCTTGAGCCTCACGCTCGACATACTCAACCGTCGGCGTCATGCTGAAATCTCTCGTATTTCGGCAAATGCAGCAAGCGCCGCAATTACCGATAAACCTGATAACAAGGGAATCGAAATCAGCTCTTCGCGGCCTGGGTATCAACGGCTGCATCACTGATAATACAGTCAGGTATTCCTTCTCGAAAGGTCACAGGTACAAATGACATGGTCGCAATCATGGCATGCCACCGCAGTACATTCAATAGATCGGCCCGGCTGCGATGAACTTTTTTTCGCTGATCAAGTTAAGCATGATCCTTACAACGTTCGATCGGTTGGGCCTCATCCTTGGTCCGACGTCGCAGGGTTTTCGGAGCGTCCACAAATCTGCGATCGATTAGCTTGATCTCAGTGCCCGAGGGCGGTGGTTGTGGGTAGTCGCCTTCGTAGGTCGATTTGGATGAAGACATCCCGCCGGCGAAATCATATATGTACATGTGCATTGCCGATGTCATAGATGAGAGGCAGTGGCTTAGCGAGCCGGAGTGCCGCTCGGGGCGGTGATTCGAAATTTCCCGTTTTTCACCGTGCTCGACGAAAATGCCGCCCCCGGCAGATATTTTTTCCTCGAAAACACTCCGTTTTTTTGGATGTCAAACCCCGAAATGCCGCCCCTAAATGCTCCGTAGGAAGTGCCGCCCGGGGCGGTCCGTCCCCCCGCCCCCCCTTACTACGCTACTGATGAGAGGACATCATACATTAGATAAAGTATCTCGCAGATAAAATGCGTAAGTTGACTCACTCCAGTTCTTCCTCCCGTATTGACCAACGGAGGATCACCCGCCAACGTTTGCTGGTTTCCACAGTGAAGTTCGAGCTCAAATGCTGAATTCTTCGCAAGTGATAGCAGTCTAACAGGATGAAGGTCCTTGAGACGCAATAGCTTTACTTCCGTGGGTTGGTCCGTTGGCTTAGTGTGCCGATATGATTTAAATTACCCGCGTGTGGCGCTTGCGTCTCCGGCGTGTCGCTATACGGCGCGAATATGCTCAACCAACCATGATTTCTCTCATCGCAAAATTGAGTTATGCTGGTCGAGGCGAAGAAACCATGTCGAGGGCATGAGCAAACGAAGCTTTTTGAGTCAAGGAATTTTCAACACGATCATGCGAGCAGTAACGAATTTGAGTTGCGAAGAGCGAGTATCTGGAGGAAGCTTCTGATTATTTTCGTTCACTGGAGTGAGGACCGAATCTTCTTCAAGAGTCGCCCTCTTCTACTCAGATCCCGGATCCCGAAATCCCCGATCTTCAGTTTCGTCTCGGGAATGGAACGACGGAACGGAGCATTGAATACATCATTATAATTCCATTTTAACATATCTTCAAACACAATGTTCTTCATGTGGTTGTTCGCAGTCGACATGAAGATGCCGGCCGGACTGAGGATTGAGGTGACAATCAGTCGGGTGCAATTGGAGAGTCCATTTTTGACATCCAGATTACGCAACAACTATACAGCCCGGCTTCAAATAAAGTTCGTGCGGGGGGGGGGAGTCGCTGGAGACATTGTGTCCAGGAACTCCGTCGGGAAGTTATATGCATCGCTGGGGTCCTCGACTATCGCTTGATCTTGACTTCGGAATGTTGTTGTGAGGCCAGGTAGTTTGTCGAGACCGTATTCATTAATTTTGTGAACTCGGCACTTTTCGGCGTTAATATGGTTATCTGGGTGAGATCCCGATTTCGGAAATCACAATCGGCCTCGCCATAAATCAAATCTGCTAGCTTCCCTCCCGATTGCACGTCCTCCGGTACCTCCATATTCCACGGTATTTTTCCGTCCCCTACCCTGAGAAGCCATCCACGAAACTCTCTGTCAGATTCACTCGACCGCATGTTTTGTGTCAATCGGAACTGATGGAGGTGTTTCCATAAATGGGAATCTTTCAGACATGAATGCACGATTCCGATTCGCGGACCTTTTTAGACGACTGGCAAAATCTGTCGAAAATGCCCCCAGAGTACCATGATTTCGCCGCCGAATGGCAAGCTTTTCTGCATGATGTCTTGCAACACGCCTCTCTCAAGGAGGTTCGAAAACGCGAATCGTCTCGCAGATACCCACTCGCTTTGGCTGCTTCGACGAAGGTTTAGTATTCAAGACCATCTACGGTACGCTTGTCGCTATAGGACGTGTATCCCTTTCCGTATAGGAGTAATAGTCGCAATGCAAGTGTTCATGATCGTTCGGGCTCACTGAGTACATGCGGCCGATAGTTCGTGTGGTATCGCGTTTCCGCTCTTGCCATCGCTCATTAATGCAAATGAATTTTTCCAGCATTTAGGGATAAAGGAGTTTACGACTGTCTATCAGATCTTCAGGGAAAGAACCATTTTCGCTCTCTAAACGTTGACATCGCTCATTTGTATCGAAATATGCAGTCGAAGTTGAAAATCGATTGCTCGCAGCCGATAACACCGACTCCTCCGACCCCGCTTCAAAAAGCACGCTCTCGAATCCTGACGGGTGAACCTGCAACCTTTTCACGACATCACTACGGTCGCTCTCTTGGCGTCCCAATAGTCGTTGATCTCATCCCCTTCTTCGCCGTCCGATTCTTCGCCTCGATGCAACCGGAGTCTCGCGCTATCTGGACCTTTGTATACGTATTTGTAAAGATATTTAATCGCATGGAGAAGAGAGCGCAAACCTCGGCGTTTATATGAGCCTGGAACAGCAATGTCAAACACGGGCAGGAGGGAGCGACGGAGCGACTGTCCAGTTTGCATCCCTGGCGGAAAACAGAGCGACCATCGGCACGCCTACGATACTGCGGATAAGCTTTCGTTGAGAGTGAAGTGTCTTTCGCGACGACTTCGGGATACCGCTTGGAGCATTGACCGTCAACCATGCACGGCGAATTCGGATTCTGCTTTCCGCACGCTCCTTGGAAACGATTGCGTAAAGCGCGGCATTCGCGGATGGATCGGGAAGCTCAGCGCTGCTTGAACTATCGACTTCAGCGGGAGTCCTAGGCTCAAAATCCGCTTTGAGGGTAAGAATCATGTGCGTGTGAGGAAGTCCGCGCTTCTGGAACTCGATCACGCATATGAATGCCGAAACCTCCCGTAAGACCTGTTTCTTGACAGCCTCATTTCCGGAGGCCTTGACTTTGAGCTCGAAAACACGCGCGACTAATTCTGGCCTGTCCGAAGCTGTTTGTCCTACTGAGAGGTTATCAGCGACTTCAGGCCAAGCAGGGTTGCAGGTGAATGTGAGAAACAGATCTGGTTTGCCGGAACGATGCTCATAGCATCTTGATACTGAGCGACCGTATACCGGGGTCCTCCAGTGGAAGATGCGGCTAGAATTATCCGGCGACCGGGCGGTCCATCAAAATACGTGTCGCTAAGCATGTTGTCCTGAAGACCGCGGACAGTGTCGATTCTCAACTTTCGTTGGTTCAATCGTACATAGGTGAAACGGTTCATTTCTGTCTTTATCCAACTGTCAACAATGAATTGCTGCAAGAGCTTGCCGGCATGGAATAAAGGATTATTACTTACCGTACTTACCCGAATTTAGCGACATGTCACTAAATCCGGGTTAGGCGGACATGTCACTATACGCGGGTATACCGACATGTCGTTCTAAAATGGAGAAAAAAAGTGCGATTTGCGACGTGCGATGTTCAGCTCGTCTCATTCAAAACAAACAGAGCTGCCATCATGGAGGAGTCGTACGAACCGGTGCTCATTGACGAGTTTACCAATACCGACCAAGAACCGCAAGTCCTGGATGTACCGCAGTGCGTTCGAATCAAGGGGAGACGCGCTTACACGGTCAAAGAATCATTGAAAGATAAGTTCCGGCTGGTTTCTGCCACGCGTCAGGAGGCGACGAAACGCGTGAGACACACGCAGGATTCCGAAGGCCGCAGGAAGAGAGCGAAGTTCCCAGAGGTGGAGATAGAACTTTTCGATTGGGTCGGACGGCAACGCAAGAACGGATTCACGGTCAATTGCTTGATGCTGCAGTTCGAGGCGCG